GGAAGCAAGGCTGAAACCGGAGCTTTCTGGAGTGGGAGCTGGACCAGACCCAGGAGTCCCCAGGGCTGCCCCGCCTCCAACTCCCGCCCCCCCCCTACTCCGCTGCCCAGCTCTGTAGGGTGGCTGATGTGACCAGGGCTCACCCTCATCCCTTCATTAAGAATTCACTTCCTGGGGGACTGAAGGAGGCACTGACCCCCCCGCAGAGGGGAGGGGCTGGCAGGGGAAGCTTCAGGGGTTGGGGGTGAAGGGCAGCCCCCTGCGCTCCCTCCCTCCACTCCCCTCTCCCCCTCGGACCTGGGCTCAGTCCCGCAGGCTCCAGCCTGACTCACCGCAGGCAGCTGTGGTTTGGGCTGCCGGGGGTGGGGGCAGCAGAGGACACAAGTTGGGGGTATCAAGCTTAGGGGAGCAACTTCCTCCCACCACCCACCCTGCCCTGGCCAGAGCTACTGAGCCCTCAGAGCACAGGAGGACAGGACTGCCAGTCCCCCACCCTGTCCTTGAGGGTGACAGTTCCCAAGCAGCAGAACCAGCACCATCACAGTTCTCTGGTGCTGAGCCCACAGACCAGGGAGGCCGCCCTGGGGCCTTCCAATAGGAGACCCTGTTCTGAGCCCTAAGAATCTGTCCCCTCTACCCCTCACAGCCAGTAGGGGAAGCACCCGGGTGGCAACTATCTTCCCACGCCCCAGAGCTGCATGAGCTGAGCCCAGTGACCCAAGCCTCCCCTTTCCCATCTGTGAAATGGGCGCTGGCTACTGTCCTCTCCTCAGGGGGCCACACGGAGGAGCAGACGATTTAATGCCCGAGAAGTCTTTGCTCCTATTTGTCATGAAGCTCTAAGCCCTGCGTGTCCGTGTCACATGCAGGGGGTGCTATGGGGGCGCCCAGGAAGGATTTCAGTCACCAGTCCTTCAGCAGAAAACAGCTGAAGCCAGATATCGGTAAGAAGCTTCCATCACCTCTGGCCACCCCCATGCGTGCCCTTGGCCCAGGGACCCCCCCAGTCCTGCCACCTCCCCGTCACCGCATCCTCGGGCACCTCCAGGCCCCTTATGTTTGCCAAGCCATTTACGCTCATTTGTCCCGTTTGCCACGCGGCTGAGCATGGAATCAGTCAATCAACCAATTATCGAGCGCCCGCGTGCGGGGCTGGCGGGCGTCCTGTGCGGTCTGCTCAGTTTTCACCCCCAGAGGCATTTTGGAACCTTCCCAAGACAAAAGGCGGAAGGAAGGAAGGAAGTGCCACCCTGTGGACACAGAAAAGATAACAGGCTCTCAGCGCCTGGCCTTCCGCTCCGGGCATGCGCAGAGCCCCCGACCCTGCTCTGAGCCTGGGAGGGGGGTTAGCACCGGGCCCAGTTTCAGTTGGGGAAACTGAGGCTCTCGTGGGCCCGGGGTCACCCATCCCAAACTAGGTGAGCTGGCCCAGGATGTGCTCCTTCCCACGCCACTGTCGGGCACTCTGGGTCGCCCCTTCCCACGCTGTTCCTGCTCTCCCTTCCTCTGCCCTGTAAGGCAGGGGACCCCATTCCCCAGGTCCCGCTGGGTTCAGCCAATGGGAGCGCTGGTGGGAGAGAGCGCCAGGAGGAGGGGAGACGCTGAATCTCCCTTTTTGTCTGCCATACACAGTGTCTCCTGGGAGGCTCCCACCGGCTCCCTCCTGGGGTCCAGTGACGCCAGCCCCATCCTACGCTGTTGCTTACTTCTGGCTGCCTCATTGTTCCCCAATTTGGTCTCTAAATTATCATTTAGTATTAAATTGTGTTCCAATACACATAACATCAAATTTGCCATCTTAACCATGTTTAACCATCTAATTCAAGGGCATCAAGTACAATCACATGGTTGTGCGGCCATGGCCAGAACTTCCTTCTTCCCAAATTTAATCTCTGTCCCCACTGAATGCCAACTTGCCACGTCCCTCCCCCAGCCCCTGGCGCCCACCATCTCTTTCCAGTATCTATGAATCAGACTTCTTTAGGGACCTCGAGTGGAATCCTGGAGTGTGAGCTGGCATGTCATGATGGTTTGGTCTTTTTTACGTAGCTTTTTTGGTTTCTTTTATGCAGTTTCCCATATTAAGTTCTTTCTATCCGTCCACCTACTGTGTCCCTGAGCGCACCCCTCCCAATGACCCACCTAGACTACTTGTGGTTTGATCTGCCATGTGGTTTGATCTGCCATGCTCAGGGAAAGGGGTCTTTTTTTTTTTTTTCCAAAGATTTTATTTATTTATTTGACAGAGATCACAAGTAGGCAGAGAGGCAGGCAGAGAGAGAGAGGAGGAAGCAGGCTCCCCGCTGAGCAGAGAGCCCGATGTGGGGCTCGATCCTAGGACCCTGAGATCATGACCTAAGCCGAAGGCAGAGGCTTTAACCCACTGAGCCACCCAGGCGCCCCAGGGAAAGGGGTCTTAACGGCCAACAGGTACAGACCCCGGTAAAGCCTGGGTGCACGAAAGAACAGGGAAGCACGTGGCTGGACGCCCACAGCTCTCACCAAATGTTGCCGCTATGGAACACGAGAATTTGCTGGAACTCATGATGATTTGATTTGTGTTGGAAAATCTCGTTTTATATCTTACTAATTAATTTCACAGGTGTTTATCCTGTTTCATCCTTTACGAAAACCTCACAGCAACCACTCCAGGACCCCAAACTGTCTGAAGGGAAGCTTTGATCGGAAATCATCTGTTGATTGGACCAGGTGGGAAGGTCTCAGCCCCAGGCCACTCTTCCTCCCAGTTCAGCTTCTGGATTCAGCTCAGATGTCCCCTCCTTAGAGAATCCTTCCCTGAGGCCCCCCCGAAAGGAGTCCTCTCCCTGCCAGTCACTGCTCTGTCCCATTGCCCTGTTTAAAATTCTTCTAGAATATTCTTCTAACATTATAATCACTGTATCTATTTCCCCTCTACAATGTCAGCTCCTTGAGGGCAGACTCTTATTCACTTCTATGGTTTTATTATTTATTTATTTATTTATTAAAGATTTTATTCATTTATTTGACAGAGCGCAAGAGATCACAAGTAGGCAGAGAGGCAGGCAGAGATAGAGGGAGAAGCAGGGTCCCTGCTGAGCAGAGAGCCCAATGCGGGGCTTGATCCCAGGACCCTGAGACCATGACCTGAGCCGAAGGCAGAGGCTTAACCCATTGAGCCACCCAAGCACCCCTCTATGGTTTTATTCACTGAGGTATCCCACATGCCTAGACCAGGATCTGGCCCACAGCACAGGTGTCCCATAGATGCCGGTTCTGTGAAGGAGTATGCTGGAAACTTAGCAAAACCCCAAGTCAGGGAAGCACCCCATAGCCTGTAGCCCATCCTGAGCTCTGAGAAAATGTTCTCTTTTCCAGATCATCTTCTGGGGGGAGTCCCGCCCATGCACAGGAGGAGCCCAGACATCAAAGGAAGAAAATGGTCCAGGTTTTGCCAGCGGCTCATTTAAGAAATTTAATTGATCACAGTAAGACATTCGGGCTATAAAAACATTCTATACAGTGGTTTAAAAAGCGATACCCACCCCCCAAAAGCAACCCACCATATATACAACACAGACACGATTCTCCTGAAGAGCTTTGCGCTAATCTTTGTACAAAAAGAGGCGTCTCAGAGACGACTTCCCCCCCAAGGCAGAGCCCCCGGAGGGGTCAGCGATGCAGCAACCAGGGTTTGCAAAAATAAATAGATCTTTGTTTCATATATAGAAGTGATACACGTTTAACAAATATACAAAGTGCAAACATAACAAAAAAGCCCCCCCGTGATCTGTACGAGGGATTATTTACATGCTTCGGCAGGAGAAAAGGCTTCACAGTTTCCTAGAGGGTAGAGCACAGTGTCAGGCGGTCATGCGGTGAGCGACAGGCAGGCCCCGGACGAGGCCAGGCAGGAAGCCACAGGAGGCTGCGTCTTCTGTCTTTGGTCGGAAAGGCGACACGGATGAGAGCGTGGGAAAGACATTTTGTTTAAGAAGTCCCGTGAGCTGACCAAGCCCAGGGGGGTGTCTTACGGGGCTAAAACGCCATGCACATGTTGGACAGGCACCCATCGACAAGCATCTTGTTGGGGGAAATGAATGGCTCGGGGCGTCTGCACAGAAGCAGAAACACTAGCAGGACAGTGAAGATGGCAGCTTTGAGGCGCTCGGCGGGGAGAGGCCCTGAGATCACGCGTGTTTGTCCATGCGGGCCCTGAGCCCATCCCAACCAGAACAGAAACCAGTGCAAAACAGTAACAATGTCAACGTTACATAAGATGCAGCCCTGAATGAAAAAAAAAAAGTGCTTGAGGGATCTTGAAGGGTCTGGCGCAGGCACGGGGGCTGTGGTCCAGGCCACCACGCCTGGACCACAGGACGCTCTTAGAGACTGGAGGCCGCTGTCTGCACACATCAGCTAACTGGGCATCTCAGGCACTTAATCCATATTAAGGGCAACCGGTAACCTGGGGACGGTGGAGGTTTCGGTGAATGAACCGGACTCACTTGGCCCCACCCCCGGGATGCTGGATTTGGCCAGGTCAAGACCAATGCCAGAGTCTTGGTGTCAAGGGAGGGCACAGACCTCGCTTGGAAAACCCGAGTTTGATCCGGACCTGAGGTGCAGGAAAGCAACAGTGAGCGCTGGCTGTCCAGCAAGGCAGAGGTGAGCGCGGTTACTCCTGAGTTTGGGGGCTCGGGCGGGGATGGGAATGGGGACAGGGTAGAGCAGCCACGCAGGACCTCGCAGGTAGGGTAGGGTCTGCTCTCCAGTTCCCAGCCCCTTGCCTTCTCTGTCCCTCTGGCAGTCCCTGGAGAGGGCAGAGACGCCCCCCCCCAGCTCATTCGGCCTTCTCTTCTCCACTAGTCATAAAGAAAAAAAATTCCAACCTCAGCCCGTTGCACGGGCGCCGCTGGAAGCCCGTCTGCCTCCCAGACGAATAAATATATAGAACAAAGCTCTGGCAGGACAGGCCCAGCGGCTGCAGGCTCTGCTTTGGGTTCGCTGCTTTCTTTGAGTGAAACGGGAGGGCGTCAAGGTCTCAGGAAGGGTTTGGGGCAGGTCAAGGGTCTGGGGAGAAAGTGTTCTTCCTGCCCGTGACCAGCAGCAGGTTCCGGGGAAGGACGGGCCTGGAAGCAGCAGCTCACGCCGCCTCGTCCTCCAGGCTGACCATCTGTCTCTGTCACGAAAGAGAAACGCCGGAAGCGATCAGGCCAACGTTCAGTAAACATGGCCAGAGGCCACCTACGCCTCCCGGCCCCCCAGCTCCCCTCATCGCTGGCTGGGACCAGCACAGCGGCCTCTGTCCTGGTCCCCAGCTCCCGACCTTGGCTCCAGTCTTTTTCCCCCGACAGCCACATGAGGGCACCTGTGAGCCCCAAGTCAGGCCAAGCCCAGAACTCTCCAGGGCTCCCATCTTGTGAGAGCATAAGCCAGAATCCTCCTCCAGCGGCCTCATCCCGTCCTGTCCTGTCCTGTCCTGTCCCTTCCCTTGGCTCCCCCGCCCCGCCCCGACACTCCCTTCCCCCAATTCTCAGCTCCAGCCACACCAGCCTCGGGGAAGTCTGCCCCAGCCCCCTCATCTAAGCTCTCCCAGCCCCCACTGGCTTGTTTCCCCCCCTTTTCTTGATGCTGTCCACCCCTCACCCCAGAAGGGCTCTGGAGGGTCCCCCAGCCTCTGGGTGGGGGCGGGGCGCTCACCGAAGGGTAGGTGTAGCCGTCCGGGCTGCAGCAGATGTGGACCTCGTCCTCTGTGGTCTTCTGGTACACGGGGTTGTCGAAGTTGATGCTGTTGATGCTCCGCAGCCGCCAGTTCTTCCAGAGGAGGAAGGTCCCGAAACACAGGAGGGTGAGCAGGACTGCGGGGTGAGGGGGTCTGATCAGGGGGCGCCCCGGAGCGCGCCCGGCCCCCTGCACTCCCACCCAGGGACACCGCCAGCAGACTCTGGGCCTTCTGACGTATAGAGGGGTTTTTTTGGTCCAAATTCGAAGCCACTAGGAAGAAGACCTCCCTGTGTGCATAATAAATCTCAACTCGAGGCCCACTGCGACTGCCTCGGCCCGGAAATGCCCCACGGTGGTTCATGTTCCCAGGTTTCCTCTGAGTCACCGCACAGGGGGCCTCCCCTCTTCCAGAAATGGGACTGCATTCGATCCCCGGGAGCCAAAACTCCTTTCTTCCATCCAGATGCTCTTTGCCTCATTTCTAGTGGGCCCCGTGGTGGCGTGCCCAGACCAGGGGACAGCCAAGGGCTCAGCCAGCCCAGGTTTGTAAAAAATCCCGGCCTGGGTGGTTCAGTCAGTTAAACGTCTGCCTTGGACTCAGGTCATGATCTTGGGACTCCCCAAGTTGGGCTCCCTGCTCCGTGGGGAGTCTGCTGCTCTCTGTTCCTTCTCTCTCTTGCTCTCTCACAAATAAATAAAGTAAAATCTTATAAATAAATTAAGAAAAAAGTTCTCGCCAAGGCCCAGAGGGTGGGAGAGACTCCGGCTCCGTTGGGAAGCCAGGGGGTGGGTGTCACCCTCATCAGCCAGCCCGGGGGTGAGGGTCCCACTGCCACGTCAGTCCCCTCCCAGCCAGATGACATGTAGGTCTCCGTGACTGGGCTGGCTGGGGAAGGGACACCTCGAGAGGGTTTGCTCAGTAAAGGAGTAACGGATGTGACTCAAAGCGGGGTGACTGATAGGGGTGAGGTGGGCGGTGGGGGGTACAACTCCCTGAACTCCCCATGCAGGAGAACCATTCAGCAGGAGGCGTCCCTCGGGCGGCAGGGGCCTTCCCTGCAGCAACCTCGGGGCCCAGCCCAGGCTGATTCGTCAGCTCTGAGCAGGTAGGGGGCTTCGTCCTCAACCAGGGGCGGCCTCAGGACCCAGAAGCGGGCTGGCACACTGCAGGCACTCAACTGTATTTGCTGAGTGAAGGACGCTGGAAGAGGGGCACCCCCTAGCCTGGGAGAAAAGGTGGGCTGGCCCAGGCGGTCATAGCATAGGGGGCCAGGCCGGGGGCGGGATGTGGGTGGGCCTGGCCGGGGGGCTTACCGACGGGGAGGATGATGTACAGCGCCCCCACGCTCCTGGGCCTCTCCTCATCTCCTCTGCTGGCCGCGTCGCCCAGGGCTGCATGGGACAAAGGACAAAGCGAGGCTAAGCTCCACGGTGAGGGCCCGGGAAACACAGCAGGTGTCTGACAACCGACACACACCGGGAAACACACACAGGGAAACGCATGATGCTTCCTGGTGTCCTTAAAGGTTCAAGGGAGGGGCACCTGGGTGGTGTAGTTGGTTAAGCGTCGGACGCTTGATTTTGGTTCAGGTCCTGATGTCGGGGTCATGAGGTCAAGCCCCAGGTTAGGCTGTGCAGGGAGTCTGGCTAGGATTCTCTCCCTCTGCCTTTGCCCTGCTTGTGCTCGCTTGCTCTCTCTCTCTCTCTCAAATAAATCTTAAAAAAAGTTCAAAGGAACTTGGAGCCTCTCCCAGGTTTGAGAGGTACCACGCTGGGCCTTACGCATTAGCAGGCCGTGTTAGGGGACTCGGAGCAGATTTAAGAGTGTTCCTTAGCCCAGCGTTCCGAGACGCTGGGGAGGAAGCTTTGAGCCTGCAGGTGCATCCCCAGCCGCTGGTGAGGTCACGGGTGGGCCCGTTCGCCCTGCTGGTGCATTTGATGGAAACGAGACAGGTCTGGGTGGGACAGGAGCCTCCCGACTCCCTAACGTTCAGCGACTCCAGGACATGGACTGCACCCAGGTGCCACAGTCCTGTGGCAGCTGTCCCCAGGTCAGAAAACCGGGGGGACCCCGTCACAGAAGCACACATGCACCTGAGCCCTAGGAGGGCCCCAGGCAAACCAAAGTTTATGAGCCGCACCTGGACCACATGCACACAGGTGAGCAGTGACTGACGTCATTGGTTATACTCCAGCCCCCCTGGGTTTGAATTCTGCCCGTTGGTGTGTGTGCGTGTGTGTGTGTGTGTGTGTGTGTAGAGAAATTACACTGACTTTTCCTACATTTGCACATATTTAAGGAAACTTAAAAATAAAAATAATTTAAGGTGGCAGCAGCAAGGTCCTTGAGAAGTTTTTCCCTTACAAGGGCTCCTTTGCCCAAAGCGAGAAGCTCTGGGTGGGCCCATCTGGAAAATGGCTTTTTCAAGCAATGCCCACCCCCAAACCCAGCAAACCGGTTTCCTGGCCTCCCTCAACCACAGAAGTTCCTGCTTTGCCTTGTTTATGGTTGGACATAGGTCTCACCTACTCTGAGGGGGCGGGAAAAAATGCCTCAAAGCCGCTGATATGCCCTTTTTTGGTGGGGGGGGGACGCTAGAAAAATCTATGAGCTCAAATTCCAGGGCAGGCGCCCTCTGGTGGGCAAAGAAATGAATGGCGGGTCTTCCTTGAGCACTGAGAGTCCGGCATTAGCCACAAGCACAAAACTTAAAGCCTGCCCCGCCCCGCCCCCTTGTCAAAAAAACTTAGTAACTGAGTAATATTTTAATGTGCTATTTTTTAAGAAATAAAAATGAAGGCCAATACCGCAGAATAAAGCGTCAGATTTTTAGGAAGACAGGCTCCGACTCTACACTTGCGGGACCCTGCCTCACTGGGACCCTGGCTGTGATCAAACTCTATTTACAAGACCAGGTGTTAGGCCCACGGTCCATGGTTCGGTGGTTTGAGTTTTGAAAAAATAATGCAGTGAAATACGATTTAAGTGCTGGGTTTTTGGTGTCCCCTTTGATGCTGCCCTGAGCAGCGTCTCACCCGCCTCACCCCAGCCCTGGCCCTGCTGGGCAGACACCTAAAAGCAGGTCATCGAATGGGCCTTGATAACATTTCAGGCTCCCAGGCCTCTGTTTGGGGAGGACTCTGGAATAAGCTGCCCCGCACTCCAGCCCTTCACATGCCTGGGGCCACGTAATCCCCACTACCACCAGGAGGTGGCCGGGCATGGTTATTAGTCCCCATTTTATAGGTAGGGAAATGGAGGCTTCTGAGATGCACAGGCCATGTCAGAAAGAGTACCGGTGCCAGGACTACACCCACTCGATCCCTTCCCCAAGATTCTCTTGGCCTCTGAAGGGGCCTGTCTAGATGCTCAAGCTATAAACCAGGGCCCAGGATAGTCCCTGCTTTTACCGTGGTGGGACATTGTCACCATCTCAGCCGTGGTGAACTCAGGGCTGGCCACGGACTGCGGGCTGGTTGTGTGCTTTGGCTCCATGGTTGTGGAGCGGACCGTCGGCCTGACCGTGACCGTGGAGGTGCCCTGGGTGGTCGCTCCAGGCTCAGGACCTGAAAGAAGAAACATTTCCTGAGTGTCCCGCTGCTCGTGACAATGGTAAGTAGCATATGCCACTGGCCACATTTGTGTTATTTCTTTAACTGAAAACAGGGGCACCGGGGTGGCTCAATTGGTTAAGCGGCTGCCTTGGGCTCAGGTCATGATCTTTGTGTCCTGGGATCAAATCCTGCATCAGGCTCTCTGCTCAGTGGGGAGTCTGCTTCTCCCTCTCCTTTTGCCCCTCCCCCTGCTAATAAATAAAATCTTTAAAAAAATGACTGAAAACAACGGAAAAACACGAACGTCTATGTTATTATCTGTTATAATTCGAAAGGGAGATTCCCAATGACAGATACATTGGCCCCAAACTGAGACTTTTGCTAAGGATGAGAAAAACTGAAAAAGGGGTCATCTCCGCACTTGATGCCCGTGTCTAAGATCAGTCACCTCCCAAGGCGGCCGGGAGAAAGTGAACCAGACATCGAAGGTGAACAGCGTCTGTCTAAATGCCTGGCACAGAGCTCACTGTCCCGCATGACAAAGGCAAACTATAGTCACCCCCTACAATGGCCTCCTGTTGCCTCAGTCTCCCATTTGACAGATGAGCAAAGAGAAGAACAGGAAGGGCAAGTTGCAGGACTAAGCCACAAGGGTGGCAGGCCGCATGCCCAGGCGGGCTGGTGCCCCCACCTGTGAGGCAGCTCCTCATGTCCTTGGCCAGCAGCATGCCATCAGGGCAGGCACAGGTGAACTTGGGCGAGTGGGGGTTGATCTGCGGGGCCGGGAGACACAGGTATTGGCAGCCACCGTTGCGAAGGGCGGTCCTCTCACACCAGTTCACCCCTGATGGGGAAGACCCAGGGAGTTAGGGGAAGAACAAGAACAGAAAATTCTAGAAAATTCTAGAACACCGGCAGGGAGGTGAAGGGAGGAGGCGGTCACCCCATCTTTACCTTTTGGCTGTGTGAGGTTGTGAAAAAGGACAATGTCCTCCGGGGACAACAGGTTTTCTGCCACCAAATTAATGTCTGAGCCTGTGAGGCGGTTGGCACTGAAAATGGCTTCGTTGATGATGTCCGTCCAAAATATTTTATCCTATAAGGAAATTAAAGAGGACAACAAATCCCATTAATCAAGGGCTACAGGATACCTGAATTTCTGGGAGGAAGCGGTACTGGGTGGTATGAGCTTCATTTTTTCTCATTATTAAAAAATTTTTAATTGTGTAAAATATACAGAACCTAAAATCAGCCAGTTTAATCCTTTTTAAATGTGTTCTGTAGCATTAGGTACATTCACGTTGGTGTGCAACCATCACCACCATCCATGTCTAGAACCTTCCATCTCCCCAGACTGAAGACTCTGTCCTTAGGAAACACTGACTTCCCACCCCAGCCCAGCTGTGACTCCCACCATCTACTTCCTGTCTCTGTGGATGGGGCTCCTGTAGGGACCTCACAGAAGTGGGAACAGAGTTTCTGTCCTCTTGTGTCTGGCTTAGTTCCCTCCAGATCCCTCCACATTGCAGTGCGTGTTAGAAGTCGCTCCCCGTTTCCTGAATCACATTCCACTGTACAGATACTCATTTTTTTAGCCCTTCCTCTCTGACAGACACCCAGCTTGCTTCCATCTCTTGGAGACTGCGACTCACGCTGTTTGAACACGGGTGCACAAATATAACAACGTTTCCTTAGAGCAGTTTTCCCACTGTGGTTGGCCCCCTTTTTCTCTCTCTAGGTCCCAGCAGTAACTGCCCCTCCAAGTGCAACAACCAGAAAGTTTCTAGAAAGTACCAAATGTCCCCTGGGCCCCAAGATGGCCTCCAAGCAAGAACTGTTGCTTTAAGACTCTTTGGGTGAGCAGGGTGCCCAGCTGGGTCAGCTGGGGGAACCTGAGACTCTAGATGTCAGAGTCGTTAAGTCTGAGCCCCATGCTGGGGGTAAAGTTTACTTAAAAAAACAAGTAAATAAATGTCTGTCAAACAAATAAATAAGTAATCTTAAAAAAAAAATGAACAGACAAAAACACCTCTTTTAAGGAGAAGAAAATGGAAATAACTTCCATCTTCTAAGTTGGTCCTGGCTTGAATGAGCCAAACAGTGTGGGCTGACCCATTAGCACAAGCACTTAGGCCTTGCGCGTGAGCTGCGCTCAGTACCCAGCACTTGGATGTGAATTCCCTCAGGTCCCAAAGCAGCAGCCCCTGGCTCCCAGCCCCCACCTCGAAGATGGCCAAGGAGAAGGGGTGTGCCAGCTTTTTCTTGTCCTCCAAAACGGTCTTCCGGTTCCCGCCGTTGACGTCAATGCTGGAGATGGAGTGGAGCTTGGAGTCAACCCAGTAGAGGCGGCCACCAGAAAGATCTAGAACCCACAGGTGGACAAGGAAGAGATCACATGCCGATGCCAGAGGGGCCTGGACCCATCAGAGATGTCCCCCAAAACCCAGCCCCAAAACATACTTCCCTGTGTGACCCCAAACCTCACGCAGGCATCGTTTCACAGCAGGTTGTAAAACACTCAGGAAGCTGCACATGCTTTCTCTGGGGCCTCCTGGCCACTCCCTCCCCTCCTCCAGTCAGTGCCCGACCCCAGGGACCCATGTCCCAAGGACATACCCAGGGTGATGCCATTGGGCCACTGGATGCCTTCCGTCACGAGCGAGTACACGTCGACACCGTTCAGACCCCCCTTCTTGATCTCGGCGGGGGTTCCCCAGTCTGTCCAGTACATGAAGCTGGTGGGAGAACAGCAAGAAAGCAGAGGGTCAGTGGGGGAGGGGCCCGTCTGGCCCGAACAGCAGTTCCCAGCCGAAGCAGCCAGGCCAGGAACTGTGGAGAAGCACCCCCAAGCACCCCACCAAAGAGACCTCACACTGGTTTCTTCTGCTACTCTCGTGCTTGCAACCTGGTGAGACCTGGCAGGATTTTTAGAACCTTCGAGAACAAAGGGAGATTTTGATTCCACTGTCTGGATGGGGGCTCTTCATGGGCACCCTCGACAGTGCTTTCTGGAGGCTTTTACGCATTTTTTATTTTATGAGGGTTTTTTTCTTGTTTATTTTCAAAAGGTTTCTTTGTGGTAAAATATACATAGAAGTTACCAACTCAACCATTGTTAAGTGTCCAGGTTGGTGACTAAGTACACCTATCCTGTCACACAACCATCACCACCATCCATCCCCAGAACGTCTCCGTCAGCCCAGCCTGGAATTCTGCCTCCATGAAACACCAAGTCCGCATTCGCCTCCTCTGACCCCAGCCCCCACCACTCCGCTCTGTCTCCACCAACAAGACTCCTCTAGGACCTCATGCGAGTGTGATCACAGAGCATCTGTACTTCTGTGCCAGGCTTCCTGCATTTCACACAATGGCCTCCAGGCTCGTCCGTGGTGTGGCGGGTGTCAGCATGTCCTTCCTTTTGAAGGCTGAGTACAGTTCTGCTTTGTGGATGGACCACGTGTGGCTTATTCCGCAGCCACGGAGGGACACTCGGCTGCACCCCGGCTGCTGGGAACGCGGGGCTCGCAAACCCCGGCTCCCATCCCTGTGTTCCCTGCTCTGGCATCTATACTTAGAAGTGGATCTCCGACGGCTTTTAAGGCCTCTGAAGAGAGGCTCACAAGCAGCCACACACAAATACACTGAAAGACGCCCTCCCCACGGTGATGGGCAAAGATGGAAAACCTGCCGTTGACCATGAGCGAGACAGGTGCTCGAGTGTGCTAACGGAGGCTCAGCTTTGTAATACAGGTTTTCAAAGGCAATTTGGTGCTCTACCCATGCACATACCCTCGGACCAGCTTCTAGAATATAATCCAACTTCTAGAATGAGGGATCTAGGATCACCAGTCCTGCAGATGAACTGCAAGTCCTTGTCTTCAAAGATATTCAATTTGCAGCATCTTTGTGGGAGGCAGGAGGGAAAAAAACTAAATTTCCATGTGCCGGGTAAAAAGTAAATCACGGCTTATCTAGTCAACAGGGAATGAGCCCCAGAGTCCACAAACACCAGAGCCAAGTGGAGAACAGAGTTTAAGAGGGCAATCCTATGCTACTACCAGGAGGGAGAAGAAACACAACAGTAGAACACACACACACACACACACACACACACACACACACACACACACACCATGACTTGTATGTAAGGGGTTACTTCCGAGAGCCTCTCTCTTTTCTAGCAGCTGGCGGACTAAATTCATTCAACCGAGTGACCCTCTACCAAATGAGAACGTTTGTGGTCACCGAGGCCTGCCTTCAATGCGGGGCCTGTCCCAGGTGAGTCATGCTCGTCTCAAAAGTTCCCTTTCAGGGCACCTGGGTGGCTCAGTTGGTTAAGCATCTGTCTTCAGCTCAGGTCATGCCCTGGGTCGAGGGATCACACAGCAGAGAGACTGCTTCTCCCTCTGCCTCTGCCTTTCCCCTCCTCTCATGCTCTCAATTTCTCTCTCAAATAAATAAAATATTAAAAAAAAAAGTTCCCTTTCCTTCTGAGGACTGCCACCATGACAGGCTGCCCGTCCCGAAGTGGTCACCGTCCCTCCAGAATTGTGAAATTCCACGGGCAAATAGGTGTGACAGGTTTGGGACAGGGGGCAGGGAGACACCTTCTGTCAGGGGACACAGGTCCCTGTGGGCCTCGGAGCTGCTGAGTCAACCTCGGGCCCTGCAAACACCCTCCTGGGGGCCCCGCGGGGTGGTGGCGACCTTTCCTCCCTGTGGCGTCCTCCCTGAAACTACCTTTGGATCTGAGTGTTTTTTTTAACCTTTCTCCAATCCTTTCCTGGTACAGGGTACTCTGCCACAAAATACTAAATCAGAATTTAAATAAGTATTAATTTCCACAACCAATTTAAACCCATATTCTAATTTCTGGTTTTGTTTGTTTGTTTTTCAGTAGACCCCACACCCAGCACAGAGCTCAACACGGGCTTGAACTGTGACCTTGAGCTCAGGACCTGAGTTGAGATCAAGAATCAGACACAACCGACAGAGCTAGCCAGGCGCCTCTCTGATTTTGGGTTCTTATCCTAAGTGCACTTTTCAGGGTCCACGTCCATCTCAGCAGCAATCAAGAGGAACCAAGCTCTGACTCCCACAGGGCAACAGGGGGCAGGTCCACCCTTCTGGGTCCTGCTTGTTCCTGACAGCAAGGGCCTCGGTGGCTAGGGACAGCCCCGCGCCCAGGGAGGCCAGTCCGGCTCAGGCACATGCCTTCCCCCAGGCGGAGTCCTAGCCAGCTCTGGAACCCCGCCTCTGCTCTCTGTTCCCTCCGTACCCCACAGCTTCGGCAATACCCACCCGTGAACGGGGTCCACCACGATGGCACGCGGCTTGGAGCCTTTCTCCTTGAAGAGTGTCTTTCTTTTCACACCCTTGGTGTCAGCCACGGAGACGGTGCCCAGGATGGAGTCTGTCCAGTATATGTTGCTGTGGACCCAGTCCACAGCCAGCCCATCGGGGGCCTGGACGCCCTCACTGATGATGGTGTCATAGGTGGAAAAGCTGGGGGCTCTGTCGATCTGGGTGCTGGAGGGGAGCGGGGAGAGCGTCAGTGCGAGGGCCCTATTTCATCCAGGGTTGGGGCTGGGGGCGGCTCCGAGGCTCACCTGTAGATCTTCCTCTGGGACAGGTCAGACCAGTAAATTCTGTTGCTGGCCACCTCTGTGTCCAGGGCCACAACGTTCTTCAGGTTCGGGATGAGGCTGGTGTATTCGCTGCGGTCCAGGGTCATCTTCCTCACCTCGTGGCGGTTGGTGAAGAAGAGGTAGGCGATGTCGCCTGGGGATGAGGGAAGGATGCTCAGGGCAGCAGAAGGGACTCCTGACTTTTGCCCGTCAACCTCTGGGGTCCAGCTGAGCCAGAGGAGACTCTCAGGATGGGCTGGGAAATGCCTTGAGGGCGGATGAGCCGTGTGGCTCTGGTGTTCAGACATCCTGGGCCTTGCGGAGACCAAAGGGACAGCCCGTCCCAGAGCCGGCCGTCTCCTCTTGCCTGCTGACTGACCCTGGTGCTTCCCCGGGGGGCCCCCTGGCTGCCGTGCTACCCCTCTTCTTGGGAACCATAACAACCGATCTTCTCGATGGTGATCGTCTCCTACTGGGTTGGCCCCACCATACTTATATGGTAATAAAACCTACATGAATAATAAAACCTGGGGATGCCTGGGGGGCTCAGTCAGTTAAGCATCTGCCTTCAGCTCAGGTCATGATCCCAGGGTCCTGGGATCGAGTCCCACATCAGGCTCTCTGATCAGCAGGGAGCCTGCTTCCCCCTCTCCCTCTACCAGCCTCTCTGCCTACTTGTGATCTCTTTCTGTCAAATAAATAAAATCTTTAAAAAAAACAAACAAACATACATATGAGGGGACTGACGCTCAGAGAGCGGAAGGGACAAGCCCAAGGTCACACCAGCTGGTCAGTGGCAGAGCTGGGATTCAAATCCAGGCTGCCCGGATTCTGGGGGGCTGTGTTGTAACCATGACACCAATATTCACCGACAGGCTAACGGTGTGTACAACTGACCTCACTCAGAACAGCCCTTCCCATGATACCACTCATACTCCTCGGAAGGCGTCTGTGTAGACACCAGCCCAGACAGATCAGAGCAAAAGTGAAACCTCAAACCCGGGGGGGTTCATGAACTCAGTCCCTGGTTTTCCCCAGAACCAGGAAACACATGGCGGTGTGACAGAGGGCGGCCATGGAACCATTACAAAAGGGAAGACAACGGGGAGGAAGTCTTCAAAGCTCAAGCAGACCCTTGAGGAAACGGAAGGCAATCTAAAATATTTCTGCAAACTCGTCCCTCCTTGGAGTCACCCTGGAGGGCAGAACAGGACGCAAAGCAAAGGGAGTTTATCCACAGGTCAACTCCCCGAGGACGGCTGTGCCTCCAAACACATGGGCTCTGAGAATCAGTGCCTGGTCACAGTGCTCATCTCAACTTTAGGTAGAAAAGAAACCCAGGGCACCTGGGTGGCTCAGTTGCTTAAGCCTCTGCCTTCAGCTAGGTCATGATCTCAGGGTCCTGGGATCGAGCCCTGCATCGGGAGCCCTGCACTGGGGCGGGGTGGGGGGCGGTCTCTGCTCAGCGGGGAGCCTGCTTCTCCCTCTCTCTCTGCCTGCCTCTCTACCTACTTGTGATCTCTCTCTGTCCAATAAATAAGTAAGTAAGATCTTTAAAAAAAAAAAGGAAAGGAAAAGAAACCCAACTATTCCTGTGTTTGGTTTCCTCCGGAGTGACTGATTATACCTTGGGCTGTCTGAAGTCAATTTGCTTTTTGGGTACAGGTTCCTCTAAGTGAGTAAGAATGGCTGGTGGGGGGATGGGTCCTTCAGGCCTCGGCTTTTCCTGTTCTCTGAAGCCATGGGGGAGGCTGGGGGCTGCAAACTAGATCTCCTGCAATTGACCTGTGTCCACAGGAAAGCAGGACACGCCAAGGCAGGCTCCTGGCAAGTTCCCGACAGCACTGCTCAACCAGCTGCCAGAGGTCTTGGGAGGACACAGTTGGCCCCAGCCCTCACCCAGCGGGCTTTGGAGTTGATGCAAAGTTCTTGTGATGAAACTCCCCAGGGCATCACCTCTTGGCACAGGCCCCCGAAGGCCCCGCCCCACACTCACCCACAGCCTTGCAGGCCTTGGTGTGCGGGTCCAGCTGGAAGCCCTTCTCACAGTCGCACTTGTAGCTGCCCTCGAGGTTCACGCACAGCTGGCTGCACACATCGGGGTCCTGACACTCGTCGATATCTGCAAGTCAGGACACAGGAAGGCATTTGGGGCTTCCTCCCCATGGGGTGCTGATGGAGTGATGGAGCCATGCCTCCCGATGGCAAATGGGGACAGCCTAGGCCCTTTGGGGATGACCCCTAGAGCCATGGTCTTGGTGACCAGCAGGCTCAGAAATAAAAACTCAGAAACAGCCAAGCATTGTCTCCAACAATGACCTTGACCTCACCGTTCACCCCAGGGGTGCAGCCCCCAGGGAGAAGCTGCATCAGCCGTCAACAGAGATTACTTTCTTAATTATTAATCCCCAAAGGCAAGAACTCCATGGCCCTCCAGGGCCAAGCCTGCAGGGATGTCCTGGGCACCTGGCATTTCATTAAATCCTCCTAACAGGCCCACGAGGTCAGCACTGCTGTCATGCCCACTAAACAGGTGGGGAAACAGGCACTGAGGGTTTGGCCACCCCATGAGGAGAAAGGGACGGGGAGGCCAGGAGCCCACCCTGCTGGGGAATCACCTTCGCATCTTCGCTGGTCCACCAGCCGGAAACCCTCAGGACACAAGCACTCGTAGCCCACCTTGAGGTCACTGCAGATGTGGGAACACCCACCCTTGTTGTCCAGACACTCGTTGGTCCCTGTGCCAGGTGGGGGGAGGGGGACAAAAGCAGAGACTGGTCACACTCAGCTCGTCGGCACCCCTGCACCATCTCCTCACCCTTATAATGATTGCTACAATGACTGGGGGACCAGGAAACTGCCATGTCCCCTAGGAGGACTTAACACAACCCCCATCATTTGCAGCGCCAGGAGGGAACCCGGAGGATATTCCACTGAGTGAACGACATGGGTAGAGAAGGACAAATACTGCAGGATTCACTCCTAGCACATCCCCAGTGGAGTCAAAATCAGAGACAGGAAGTAGATGGGTGGCTGGCCTGGGGAGGGGAGGGGATGGGGAGTCAGCGCTTTCTGGGGCAGAGGTTCAGTGTGGGAAGATGAGAAAGTTCTGGAGACGGATGGTGGGGATGGCTGCATAACCATGTGAGTCTGCTTAATGTCACTGAACTGGACGCTTAAAAATGGTTAAGATGGGGGCACTTCAGTGGCTTAGTGGGTTAAGCCTCTTCTTTCGGCTCAGGTCATGATCTCAGGGTCCTGGGATCGAGCCCCACATCAGGCTCTCTGCTCCGCAGGGAGCCTGTTCCCCACCCCCCCTGCCTGCTTCTCTGCCTACTTGTGATCTCTCTTTCTCGCTGTGTCAAATAAATAAATAAATAAATTTTAAAAAAATGGTTAAGATGGTAAATCCTACTTTTTTTTTTTTTATAAAACATATTTCAAAATGTTCTTGATTATAAAAAACTAAAAAACCATGTTCCACAGTTGCATGTACTAACTCCCCAAAACCATACAGGTAGCTGAACTATAGCTGTGGAAACCGAGGCCTGGCCAGACTCCAAGACCTGCCCCAGATCGCAGTGCTGGACCAGGCCCGGGGCGCTCGGCGCTGGCACCCACGCCCTGGCTCTCTTTACAGGGCTTCGGCCCATGCCAGCCTACCAATCTGTTCCTGCATGGCCCCAAAGCTAAGAATTCTTTTGATTGTTTTTAAACAGTTGAAAAGAAAAATAAGGATCAAAAGCAAAACAGTATTTTGTGCCCCATGAACAGTTCAGACATCAGTGTCCATGATAAGGTTTGCTTGGAGCACGGCCACAGGCGTTCATGTGCGCATGTGCATTTGTAGGCCGTCTTCTGCCTGCAACTCAGCTCCTGCTGAACAGCTGTGACAGACCGTACAGCTGGTCAAGTCCACAATATTTACATGGCCACAGGTTACGGTGCACTGCTGAAACTTGACAAGCATCGCAACAGCCAACCCCCAGCAGCCCTAGGATGTTGGGCCCTTACTGTCCCATCCTACAGATGTGAACACTGAGGTTTCTCCCCTAGGACCCCATGTCTGTGTTGCTGCAGAGCTATAACACTCACAGGCAGGGGTGGGCAGGAGACTTGCAGCCCCACAGCATAGCCACGTCTGGGTCCCAGCCCCAGCTCCCCGTAAGACCCAGAGAACTGTCTGCACCCGGGGGGTGGGGGGTGCTCACCACACTCCTTGAGGGGCTCGTCCGACCAGTCCTGACAGTCCCTGACCGAGTTGCACACTTTGTCCAGCGTGATGCATTCGCCGCTGTGGCACTTGAACTTGCTGGGCCCCTCGCACAGTGTCACTAAGAACCAAAGAGGACGATCAGGTACTTCCGAGAACGAGATGATATGTAAATGTGTTCATAATTAAGATGTAACAGTGTACTTAGTGTCATGGAAATAAATACTGAAGAATGGTAAAGGTGGTAAGTATTTTCTGTTAGATGTTGTTTACCACGATTGTCAAAAATTACATTATCAGAATTTAACTTCTTGTTCACAAAAGTTTGTTCGGCGGGGGTGGGGGGGGCACCTGGGTGGCTCAGTTGGACTGGATTTCAGCTCAGATCAAGATCTCAGGATTGTGAGATCGAGTCCCGCCTTGGGCTCTGCACTGGGCGTGAAGCCTGCTTAAGATTTCTCTTATCTCCCTCTCCCTCCCGGCCCTCATACACTCTGTCTCTAAAAATAAATGAACAGGGGCACCTCGGTGGCTCATTTGGTTAAGTGACTGCCTTTGGCTCAGGTCATGATCCTGGGGTCCCAGGATTGAGTCCTGCATCGAGCTCCCTGCTCTGCAGGGAGTCTGCTTCTCCCTGTGACCCCCACCCCATGCTCTCTCATATAAATAAAATCTCAAAAAATAAATAAATAAGGGTGCCTGGGTGGCTCAGTCATTAGGCATCTGCCTTCAGCTCAGATCATGATCCCAGGGTCCTAAGATCCAGCCCCACCTCGGCCTCCCAGCTCAGCAGGGAACCTGCTTCTCCGTCTCCCACTCCCCCTGCTTGTGTTCCCTCTCTCGTTGAGTCTCTGTCAAATAAATAAGTAAAATCTTTAAATAAATAAAGGAAAATAAAAACTTTAAGAATAATAAATAAGGGGCGCCTAGGTGGCTCAGATGGTTAAGCGTCTGCCTTCGGCTCAGGTCATGATCCCAGGGTCCTGGGATTGAGCTCCGCATCGGGCTCTCTGCTCAGCGGGAAGCCTGCCTCCTCCTCCTCTCTCTCTCTCTCTGCCTACTTGTGATCTCTGTCAAATAAATAAATAAAATCTTAAAAACAAACAAACAAACAAACAAAAAAAACAATTTTCAAGTGAATTCTACTGATAAACAACGGGGTTGCTCCTAGTGTCCTGCCGTTAGGCCGGTGCTGCTCCCTAAACTCCGAAGCCCGCCTCCTGGTTACAGGTGCGAGTTTCTCCCAGGATCACTCCCAGGAGTGGAAATGTCACACCGTAAGCACAGGACAGTGCTTTACCTGCCGAGTTCAAAGACAGAAGCCCTGCATACTTTGGCCTCATTAGAATCTCACAGTCCTGAAACAGATGCTTTCGTGATGCTCGTTGGTCAGATAAATGGAAGGGAGGTTCAGGGAGGGCAAGTAACTGGCCCGAGGACACACAGCGGGCACGGGGCTGCCCCGAGAGGAGCTTACCGTTGATGCATCCAAGCTCGTCGCTTGAGTCCTTACAGTCATATTCCCGGTCACACTGCCGGCTGCCATGGATACAGGTCCCGTCTGAGCACTGGAACTCATCAGGCCGGCATGTGGCCACAGCTAGGAAAGACAGGGCACATGCTGGTTTCTCTCAAGGAGCAGCGGGGGGGGGGGGGGGGGGGGGACAAACAACCTACCAGCTTTGAAGCAGCAATGTCCTGCCTGCCTCGGGCACCAGGGAAAACAGATAACAAGAAAGATTTCAGATGTGGGAAAAAACAAGTCCCACCACTTCCATGGGCAGGAGACAGTGGCTTATCCATTTTATCTGCTTCCCATCTGGAGAAAAAGTCTTCAGGGAACACCTGTCTTCACATTCTATTTTTTAATTATTATTATTATTATTTTTTATTTATTTGACAGAGAGATATCACAAGTAGGCAGAGAGGCAGGCAGAGAGAGTGAGAATGAAGCAGGCTCCCTGCTGAGCAGAGAGCCCGATGCAGGACTCGATCCCAGGACCCTGAGATAATGACCTGAGCCGAAGGCAGCGGCCTAACCCACTGAGCCACCCAGGCGCCCCCGTCTTCACATTCTAAATTTTAACCAATGTAGTCTAATTTCTTTCTTTCTTTTTTTAAGGTGGGGGAAGGGCAGAGGGAGAGAGAGAGAGAATCTTAAGTAGGTTCCATGCCTAGCACGGAGCCTGATGCAGGGGTCAATCTCCCAACTCTGAGATCATGACCTGAGCTGAAATCAAGAGTCGGACCGAGCCACCCAGCCACCCCAAATCTATGTAGTTTTAGATTTTCTTTCATAGCAGTAGGTACTCTTTTCCTCAAAGAAGAAGAATCCCAGACAATCATAACTAAAGCCACAGAGCAAAGTTTGAAAAATAAGAAAGTGGGGGGAGCACCCTAACAGCACCACTGAGTTTTCCTGGAGTTTCCTCCAATCTTTTCACATCTACATTTCTAAGAACACAAAAATAATTTTTTTTAAGATTTTCAGTCATCTCTACACCCAGTATGGGGCTTGAACTTACAACCTTGAGATCAAGAGTCACATGCTCTACTGACAGAGCCAGTCAGGCTCCCCAAGAACACATGATTTGTAAACACCTGGTAGGGTCGACAGGCCACTCTCAGCAGAAAAGCAACGGCGTGTTCCCCAGCTAGACAGAGGCAGACCAGATAGTGACAAATTCGGTCAATGCCACTGCGTACAGCACAGTCTAACACTGTGAAGCAGGACAAATGTGCAGGAGAGGACACCGAGGACAAAAGACAAATTTTTTATTTTCACAAGTGTGTGTCCTCTGATTAGTCACCCCTCCTGGGCCTCAGTTTCCCCATCTGTAAAGAGGGGGGAATGCCTGCTCACATAATGAGGATTAAGGGAGTTTGTGTTGAGTTTTAGTGCACACTGTATACAGTCATCCATTATTTTAAAATGTGACTTTTAGGGGCGCCTGGGTGGCTCAGTGGGTTAAAGCCTCTGCCTTCAGCTCAGGACATGATCTCAGGGTCCTGGGATCGAACCCCACATTGGGCTCTCTGCTCATCAGGGAGCCTGCTTCCTCCTCTCTCTGCCTGCCTCTCTGCCTACTTGAGATCTCTGTCTGTCAAATAAATAAATAAAATCTTTAAAAATAAATAAATAAAATTAAAAAATAAATAAATAAAATGTGACTTTTAGGGGTGCCTGTCGGGCTCTGTTGGAAGAGTGTGCAACTCTTGATCTCTGGGTTGTGAGTTTGAGCCCCAGGTGGGGTGCAGGGATTACTAAAAGCAAAAGAAAGCAAAACAAAAAAACAAAAAAAAGCCATAAACTTAAAAAAAAAAAAATTTTTTTTTTTTAAGTGATTCTTAAAAAGTCTAATACCATCTACACTGAGATTACAATTCTATGAAAACAGTGCATGGGGGCAAAGGTACCAAAGAAACCGAGACACGAAAACACGTTCTAGGTTCACAGGAGCTCCGCCGCTGGCTTGGAAGTAACGGTGCCCCTTCAGGAATGACGGACTCGGGGCCAGGGTCTGGGTAGCACAATCCTTTATCTTCACGGCCTCCAACACAGGAGCCGCTCACCACGTGCGGCTACTTAACTTTCAATTCACAGAAGTGAACCAAAACAAAATATTCCCTTCTTTGCTTGCACGAGCTCCCGCACTGGGCGGTGCCAATGTGGGAGGTCTCCACCGCCCCCAGAAAGTTCAGTGGCATGGTGTGGACTCCAGTCAAAAAAGCCTGCCAAGGCCAAAGCTCTTGCCCCATTCCATGGGGAAAGAGAACACAGTGCAGGGAGGAGTAGTCCTTGGCCTCTGGCCTCACCTACCAGGCCTGGAGCCCGGGATCCTGTCTGGACGAAGACAGTATTGCAGCTGTGACTTGCTCCCCTGGTCAAAAAAAGGGTGAACTCGGGGCGCTTGGGTGGCTCACTGGGTGAAAGCCTCTGACTTAAGCTCAGGTCCTGATCCCAGGGTCCTGGGATCGAGCCCCAAGTCAGGGCTCTCTGCTCGGCGGGGAGCCTGCTTCCTCCTCTCTCGCTGCCTCTCTGCCTACTTATGATCTCTCTGTCAAATAAACAAATAAAATCTTAAAAAAAAAAAAAAAAGGGGGGGTGAAATCCACACTATTTGGAGTTAAAGACAGGGTCTCTGTTTATGGAGGCTTGCTCCTCCCTGCGATTGGGAACACGGACAGAAACATGGAAGGAGACTGCGGCGGGACTTGGCATTGTCTAAGCACAGAAAGGCCGACCCGCCCCACCCCAGGGGGAGCACAGGGACAGGGGAGAGGACCTCCCGCGCAGTGCCCTTACTGCAGTTCTCCTCGTCGGACTTGTCCTTGCAGTCAGGGCCGCCGTCACAGCGCCAGCTGGAGTGGATACATTCGCCGCTCTGGCAGTGAAACTCAAGGGCCGAGCACGGGCCGTTGTCGTATTGGGGGACTGACAGCTTGCGGCCCTCGCAGTGCTGCGGCCACTCATCTGAGCCGTCCTTGCAGTCGGGGTCGCCATCACAAGCCCACAGCTCGGGGATGCAGGCTGAGTTGTTGCACTGGAAGTTGGCAGGGCCACAGGTGGGCACGGGGCAGGACGCCTCGTCAGACCCGTCCAAACAGTCCCGGTCCGAGTCACAGACAAAGTCCAGGGCGATGCACTTCCCATCCTGGCAGCGGAACTCGTTCTCGGAGCACGTCTTGGGTACTGCAGGGGTGGGTGGGAAAGGACAACCCGGTCACCAGAGAGTCCCCTCTTCTCATGAACAGCCATTTTACAGATGAGGACACTGAGTCCAGGAAAGCCCAGACCTCAGTCGGAGACCCTGCAGAGGCCCCCGGATAGGGAACCCCTGCAAGGTCAGCCTCCCCAGCCCACTCCTGGGGCCCCTCTGTGCCTCCGTTGCCCCATTTGTACCTAGGCCAGGCCCAAGGGAAGCACTATTTAAGAGTCTGCTGTTGGGATACCCAGGTGGCTCAGTTGGTTAAACGTCTGCCTGCAGCTCAGGTCATGATCCCAGGGTCCTGGGATCAAGCCCCGCATTGCTAAGTGGGGAGCCTGCTTCTTCCTCTGCCTGCGGCTCTGCTTGTGCTCAAGCTCTTGCTCTCTCTGACAAACAAATTAAAAAAATCTCAAAAAAAAAAAAAAAAAGTTTGCTGTTATTATTAAAAGAAACACCTGCCAAAATGTGGTGATTGTGGGACATGAAGGAGGTGCTGGCCACGACTGCAGTGGTGCTCATTTTGTAATATATATGTGTATACAATCATCACCTACTCCTTTTTTTTTTTTTTTTTTTTTTTTTGAGAGAGAGAGTCTACACACAAAGCGGGTGGGAGAAGCAGAGGAAGAAGGAGAGAGAGAATCTTAAGCAGACTCCATGGCCAGCACAGAGCCTGCTTGGGGTTCCATCTCATGATCCTGAGATCATGACCCAAGATAAAACCAAGAGACTGAGCTACCCAGGTGCTCCCCCCATCCAAAAGAATTTTTTTTTAAAGATTTTATTTATGTATTTGACAGAGATCACAAGTAGGGAGAGAGGCAGGCAGAAAGTGGGGGAGGGGGAAGCAGGCTCCCTGCTGAGCAGAGAGCCTGATGCGGGGCCAGTTCCCAGGACTCAGATCATGACCTGAGCCAAACGCAGAGGCTTAACCCACTGAGCCACCCAGGCACCCCCAAAAGGATTTTTTAAAAAGAGGTGGTTGGGGGGCATCTGGGTGACTTGGTTGGTTGAACGGTTGGTTGTGTGTCCAACTGCTGATTTCAGCTCAGGTCCTGATCTTACCATGATCTCAGCCCCACACCAGGCTCCACGCTCAGCACAGAGTTGGATTTGGGTTCTCTGTCCCTCTCCCTCCCACTCACTCTCTCAAATAAGTAAGTAAAATCTTTAGAGTGAGGAAAAAAAAGAAACTGGCAACTTAAAAAAAAATTTCTTTTTTTAGGAGTGCCTGGGTGGCTCAGTTCGTTGGGCAACTGCGTTCAGCTGGGGTCCTGATCCCAGGGTCGTGGGATCAAGCCCTGCATTGGGCTCCCTGCTTGGTGGAGAGCCTGCTTCTCCCTCTACCTGCTACTCTACCTGCTTGTGCTGTCAAATAAATAAATAAAATTTTTAAAAAATTTTGTTTTTTAAATTAATTCTCCCCCCCAATCTACTCTTTAAACTTACATAATGTTGTATGTCAATTATATCACAATAAAGCTGGAAGGAAAAACAAGGTACGTGGGAAAAGAACAATACTCCATTTTATTTCTAAATGTTCCCCGAGGAGGTGTTTCGTCAGGCGACCATTAAGCCCAGTGAGACACACATTTCTCAAGTGAATGTATGTGAACACACGCATGTTGTTTTTTTAATTATTATTTTTATGGATTTTTAAATTTTCTGAACTTGAAGATCTGACATTATCTTATTTAAATTTGTCCCGCTTATTTTTCTCAGAGCCCTACTCCATTAAAAAACACAACAAAACAAAACTCTACAACTCAGTAACTAACTAACTAACACTGCAGAGCCAAGACAGACACCCCGCTCTCCAACGTGCCTCCCCCTCCGGGACTCTTGGCCCTGTTTCTCCCCAGAAGCCACAACCCGGTGAAGCTTTCCTCTTCCTGGTGGTCAGCTGAGCGATATGGTCTCAGCCGATGACACCTACTGTGTGCTCAGCCGCCCGGGGTGGCTGGTGGTGGTCACAGTGGTTCACCAGAGATGTGCCACACGGTTGGGGTCAGGGGACACTTGGCAGGGACAGCCTGAGTATGCTGACCACCCTAAGAGGTGGCACCAACCCTATGCCCTGCATTGCAGTGTGGGCAAAGTAGGGTTCAAACGCACAAGGGGGTGACGCCTGGGTGGCTCAGTTGGTTAAGCGGCTGCCTTCGGCTCAGGTCATGATCCCAGCATCCTGGGATCGAGTCCCACATCGGGCTCCTTGCTCGGCAGGGAACCTGCTTCTCCCACTGCCTCTGCCTGCCTCTCGGCCTACTTGTGATCTCTCTCTCTCTTTCTCTGACAAATAAATAAATAAAATCTTAAAAAAAAAAAAAAAAAAAACGCACAAGGGGGCTTGGTGGAAGCTTCTAGAAGAGGGACTGAAGAGCCAATCCGGAGCTCAGCTGGGGCAGGACGGCCTGGGACAGCAACTGTAACTGCAGCCCGGGGACCGGGACGGCAGGGACCCAGTGGGGCCAGTGCACGGCTATCGGGGAAGGGAGCAACTTACAACAGCCTTGCTCGTCCGAGCCATTCTCGCAGTCCACCTGGCCGTCACATCTCCAGAACTGAGGGATGCAGCGGTTGACACGGCCTCCGCAGCTGAAGTCCCCCGACTTACAGGTGACAGACACTGTGGGAGAAACGGGACTGAGCCTTTCCTCCCCCAATCGGTCACTCCAGACCCCGCTTTGCAGAACAAAAACAGTTTTCAGAAACAGGGTGCCAAGCCCAACTTTCTGGGCCCCCTCCCAAAAAGTCAGACATAAAGGGATGGAAACCTTAGGAGAGAGAGGTGATGGCTGTACAGTACCGTGACCATATAAATATCACTGAACTGGTTCCTTTAAAATGGTTAATTTTGCGTTATGTGAATTTCACCTCTTTTTTTTTTTTTGGAGCTGGCAAAGTTCCAGAAATATCGCTTCCCCAAGTCCCAATTCATGGCTGAACACATCAGTCTGCTGGCTGCTGTTCACCTGTCACCCACTCTCATCAAAAAGGGCAGGAAGTGTGTCACGCCCAAAGGGGACTCACTGCAGGTCTCCTGGGACTCATCTGAGGCATCTGGGCATTCGGCGCTCCCGTCACAAACCCACTTGTAGGAGATGCACTTCCCATCTTGGCACTGGAACTCGTTTCTGCCGCATTTGTCTTCCACTGAGAGAGAAGGGAAGAGGAAGGACCATTCAGCGCCAGAATGGGAAACTGACAACGCCACCTGTGTGTTTCTATTTCCTGCCAGCTGCAGAATGAACCAGAAATAGAATCTGATCCTTCCCAGGAAATAAAACACACACAACACATTTCATGAACCACAAGTGCAGCGGAGGATGCAAAGAACAGATCTAGAAGAGTGACTTGCCCACGGTGTGTGAAACTTGACATAACGGTTGTTGGGTTCAGTGTATGAACCCACTGAGGTAGGAAACAAGATCATCTAACGTCCCTGCCCATGAAAAAAGAAAATGATTTAAATGATTTAACATATTACAAACCTGTACTGGCAACAGTAATGAGGAAAATTGAGAGTGTGAAATCATTCAGCAGAAGGAAAAATGAGGGGTCAACTCCAGTAGGCAGGGAGGAAATATAAAGAGATAAAAATTATGAGAAATTATGAATACAGAGGTCAGAGAACAGATGCTGGAGCAAAAATAATCATAAAATGGAAGGTCAGATCAAAAGAAATGGAACAGAGACAGTAGCAAAAGATATAATAAGAGCAACTTTTTCTAGGAAAGCAAAGACTCTGATTTTTTTTTTTTTTAAGGATTTTATTTATTTGACAGAGAGCACAAGCAGGGGGAGTGGCAGGCAGAGGGAGAAGCAGGCTTTCCACTGAGCAGGGAGCCCGAGGTGGGACTCGAACCCAAGGCCCTGGGATCATGACCTGAGGAGCTGAAGGCAGAAGCTTAACTGACTGAGCCACCCAGTCATCCATAAAGACTCAGATTTTTTTTTTTAAGATTTTTATTTATTTATTTGATAGACAGAGATTATAAGTAGTCAGAGAGGTAGGCAGAGAGAGAGGAGGAAGCAGGCTCCCCGTGGAGCAGAGAGCCCGATACGGGGCTCGATCCCAGGGCCCTGAGATCATGACCTGAGCCAAAGGCAGAGGCTTTAACCCACTGAGCCACCCAGGCGCCCCTAAAGTGTTAAGTATTTTTAGCTCATCTTGTTCAACATCGTGCTTTTCTGTGGAGTTTATTTTACGATGTACCTAATACAGTAGTAGTAGTCTACATGAATAATTATATTGGGGAGAACATAGCGGTTTTTTGTTTTGTTTTGGTTTTTTTTGTTTTAAACCAGTGGAGGTATGTGACTGAAAGAGTTTGGAAAGCACTGGTTAAGACAATGATGAAAGACTTCAGGGCCAAATGCAACATGGAATTCTGGACTGGGTCCTGAAAGAGGAAAGGGAAAAGTTGGTGAAATCCAAATGAAGTCTAGAGTTAACAGTAATGGACCAACATTAAACTCCTAGCTTTATGCTTTGTTTTGTTTAAGACTTATTTATTAGAGGGGCCCTGGGTGGCTCAGTGGGGTAAAGCCTCTGCCTTCAGCTCAGGTCATGATCTCAGGCTCCTGGGATGGAGCCCCACATTGGGCTCTCTGCTCAGCAGGGAGCCTACTTCCTCCTCTCTCTCTGCCTACTTGTGATCTCTGTCTGTCAAATAAATAAATAAAATCTTTAATTAAAAAAAAAGACTTATTTATTAGAGAGAGCACAAGCAGGGAGAGTGGTTGAGGGAGTGGGAGAAGCAGAATCCCTGCTGATCAGGGAGCCCAACTCGGGGCTTGATCCCAGGACCCTGGGATCATGACCTGAGCTGAAGACAGAAGCTTAAATGACTGAGCCACCCAGGGGCCCCAAACTCTTAGTTTTGACAAATATACCATTGTCTGTAAGATGTTAAGCATTGGGGGAATCTGGATGCGGGTTCTAAAAGAATTCTCTGCAGTATCTTTGCAACTTTTCTGTAAATCTAATATAATTCCAAAATAAAAAGGGTATTTTTAGTAAGTCCTCTTTCAGGGTAGGGCACCTGGTTGGCTCACTTGGTTAAGTGTTTGCCTTTGGCTCAGATTGAGTCTGACATCGGGCTCCCTGCTCAGCGGGGAGTCTGCTTCTTGACCCTCCCCCACTTCTCATGCTCTCTTTCTCTCTCTCATTCTTGCTCTCTCTCAAATAAATAAATAAAATCTTAAAAAAAAAAAAAAAAGAGTCCTTCCTTCAGGTGAAAGCTTACATATATCAGAACACTTCTGTTCTTTAGGATGAACAAGGAGGGTCAATAAAGATTTGTGGAGCATGGGGTGGGGCGGGCGGAGAAGAAAACCTTTAGGGGTTGACATCACGGGGAAACCAAGTCATTAAAATGACAAAGCTCAGGGCGCCTGGGTGGCTCAGTGGGTTAAAGCCTCTGCCTTCGGCTGGGGTCATGATCCTAGCTAGGGTCCTGGGATGGAGTTCCACATCAGGCTGTCTGCTTGGCGGAGAGCCTGCTTCCCCCTCTCTCTGTGCCTGCCTCTCTGCCTACTTGTGATCTCTGTCAGATAAATAAATAAAATCTTTAAAAAAAAAAAAAAAAAAGACAAAGCTCATGCCATTCTTGGCCAAAATGGGATAACTGTGGTCTCCATCCACATTAATGCCAAGACATTAGGGGGCAGAGAGTGAAGGTGATCCACGGCGGATCCAAAAGGACCTGCCTAGTACTTCCTTTTCAAGCTCACGGGGGCAGCACTCCTTCCAGCCCATTGCCTTCCATACACACATCTGCAGACATCTGTCTTCCCCATAAATTGCTGACCTGAAAGTTTGCCTACAAGCAACGAAGGGGACGATGACCTTGAGATCACCAGATTTCACCAACTGTTCCCTGCCCCAAAAGCAACGTGAATTACAACACTGCAGAAAGGACTTTCTCCTGCCCCTTCCACAATGAACCTCGTGATCCATATTCTGCCTCCATGCTGAATCCCGTAAAAGTTTCACAGCCTCAGAGCCCAAATTCCTGAAGCTTGGTCCCAACTCTCCTAATTTTTTCCCCCCTGCAATCATCCAGACTGCAGCTTCCTGGAAGACCCTGGGCCAAAACCATCTAGCTGTACTGCTTCCAAATCCCTGACCCTTAGAAACTGTGAGATAGTAAATGCATGTTGTTGTTGTTGCTTTTAAGATTATTTATTTTAAAGAGAGAGAGAGAGAGCACGAGTGGGAAAGGCAAATGGGAAAGGAGAGAGAACCTCAAGCAGACTCCACGATGAGTGAGAAGCCCAATGCGGGGCTCGATCCCCCAACCCTGAGATCATGACCTGACCCGAAACCAAGGAGTTGGATGCTTAACGGACTGCACCGCCCAAGTGCCCCCAAATGTGTTGTTGTTGTTATTGTTGTTTAAAGAGTTTATTTATTTATTTGATAGACAGAGATTGGATCTCTGTCTAGTAGGCAGAGAGGCAGGCAGAGAGAGAAGGGGAAGCAGGCTCCCTGCTGAGCAGAGAGCCTGACATGGGGCTTGATCCCAGGACCCTGAGATCATGACCTGAACCGAAGGCAGAGGCTTAACCCACTGAGCCACCCAGGCACCCCTAAATGTGTGTTGTTCTAACCACTAAGTTTGGGGGTAATTTGCTTGACTAACAGTTAAACTTTGAAGCAGACCTTCCAAAAAACTGGGTTTTGCACCCCCAGGAGCTCCTAAAACATCCATTTCTCACTCTTATCACACTACAGGAAAATCACCTCTTTACTTGCATGTCTCCCCACTAAATTTAAAAACCCCTGAGGGCAAGGAATGTCCTTTTCATCCTTGCAGCACCACACAGGCATGGGCCAATGCCTGACACAGTTGCAATAATTTGTGCAATAGGTATGGGGAAAATCAGAGCCAGGTCCCTCACCGCCCCATGCAAAGGGCTGGGAGAGGGGGAACACTTCTACTCTCTACCTTGTAAGAGGGTAACAGGGCAGAACCTGCAAAGTTCAAGTTAAAGTGCAAAATTTCTGGGACCTGGAAGAAATACTGGCACAGGTGCAAGACAATGCTAAGTTCAAGGAATTCCAAAGCCCTATTTAGTCGAAAAAAAAAGGGAACAGCTGGCCTAGTTTAAAATAGGACCGCAAGGGGCATCTGGGTGGCACAACTGGTTGAGCGCCTCCAGACCCCTTGATCATTTTCACCAGGCTTGGACCTGATCCTGAACCTGGGCTGAAAGCCCTGGGGGCTGGGGACATTGGGACCCAGTTTAAAAACCGCCTTCCTAGTGGCACCTGGCCACCTCCATCGGTGGGGATGGAACTCTTGATCTCAGGGTCGTGAGTTTAAGCTCCATATTGGACATAGAGATTATTTAAAAATAAAATCTTTTTAAAAAACGTTCTTTTATTATTATTTTAAAGTTTTATTTATTTGAGAGAAAGGATAGAGAGAGACTGAGCAGGAGTGTGGTGCGGTGGGGAGAGGGGCAGAGGGAGAGGGAGAAGTAGGCTCCCTGCTGAGCAGGGAAACCACTTCAGGGCTCGATCCCAGGACCCCAGGATCATGACCTGAGCCAATGGCAGATGCTTAGTGACTGAGCCACTTAGGTGCCCCCAAAAAGCTATTTTAACTCAAATAACTATTTATTTACTTACTTTTCATTTATTATCTAATTATTTACATACAGGCATACCTTGCAGGTTCAGTTTCCGATCACCCCAACAAAATGAGTATCGCAATAAAGCGAGTCCAATGAATTGGCCTTCTCAGTGCATACAGCAGCTATGTTTACACTAAATTACCAAAATGTGACACAGAGACATAAAGTGAGTAATAAGTGCAGGAAAAACCTTGACTTGCTTCACAAGGGGTTGCCAAAACCTTCCATGTGTGCAGAAAGGCAGTATCTGCGAAGCGTAAGAAAATGAGGTGTGTCTGCGCGGGGCGCCTGGCAGGCCAGGTCTGAGGAGTGCGCGAGTCTTGATCTCAG